TTTGCCATTTGAGTAATTTTACGAAAGGTAAATTGACCCTATTCGAACATGCGTAAGCATTACTGTTCAATTTTCGCCAATGTCCATTAGTCTACTCATTAGAAAGGTAACTTAAATGAAACTCACTATATTGTTGACAGTAATAGCAAGGAAAAAAAGTGCCAGACGTCAGATAAAGGAAAATTCCTATGGCCACAGCCAAGTAGTAATAAGAATACTGCGCAAGAGTTTTATGGGTGCAATTTTGACAATAAAATTCGCAGAAAGTAATATGTTCACATACTGATCTATCAAAACTAGTAAACCTCAAATACTAGTTTAAGTCAGCCAAGCGTATGATGGTAAATTATATAGCATACTAATAGATACGATGCTGAAGGACTTCACCTACTATGTTGTGCAAATTTTAATGCTAGAATAAGAAGGAAATAAAAGCGGTGCATACAAACTTGAAATAAGGTACAACCCTCTTCATCATATTTAATAGGGGCCCCGAGTCGAGTGGCCGAGTGGTCTAAAGCGCTTTCCGTTACGGATCACTGCCATCTCACCTCTGTCTGCCTGAATTCGGGTCTAAGATTCGGCAAATATGGATATGTGAGAAAGCTTGCCAGTACCTTCTCGTGGGTCGGTGGTCCTTTATGCTGATTTCCCAATTTCTTCCTCCACCAATAATATTGGCCGCCATGTATAGCTTATCATGTGCTGAAAAATGGCGTTAAGACTCACAACAACAACAACAATAACAACATTATATTTAATAATGGAACAGGCTACAGTGGTGTTCTTTTGTTATACACAAATACCCAAGAAACATACAGTTTGATACACAAAATGCTAACTTTTGTTTCATAATATTGGAAAATCTATCTTGTTTGTTGAGAAAATTATTGCATTTAAAATATTTCCTTGTCCCATTTGTTTTCTTTGTAAATCAATATCCAAATTACTGCATTGTTTTCAAGGCTTTTGAACTTTTGGTAGCTATATAAAAGAAAACATTTATTAAATATGTATGTATGTATGTATGTATGTATGTATGTATGTATGTATGTATGTATGTATGTATGTATGTATGTATGTATGTATGTATGTATGTATGTATGTATGTATGTATGTATGTATGTATGTATGTATGTATGTATGTATGTATGTATGTGTCGAATTTTAAAAACTCTTAGAAGCTTTGGTTAACGGGATTGTATCAATGTTAACTTAATTAAAGTAGAAAGGGCTAGAGATAGATGATTATTTTCATTTCATCTCTGAACGTCAAAAGGGAATTCTTTCTACCTGACGTAACATGACCGAGTCAGATGCTATAGTACAAGAGAATGACATAAGACCCTTTCCCAAAATTGACCGGGTAAAGGGCGGGAGCTGGCCATAGATGATTGTTCAAAGAAATGTTAATTACAGCATGATTAGTTGTTTAGTTGTCTGGTCAATCCAAAAATTCTACGTAACAGGTTTAGGAAACAGTCTATTCCGATTGGTTAATATGGATTTATGGGCGTAACTCTGTAAGAAATTAAAGGTTTTACTTTAGGAAAATTCTCCAGTCTTCAATCTTTCACCACGAAAGTTAAACGAGACTCCGGGAGGAGCGTGTAAGACGTTATTTCGTGATTTGGCAGTAAAGCGGGAGTTTTGTCTCAGCGAAGTGGACAAACTCTACATTTGAATTCGTAAAAAGTACGTTTTCGTTATTGAGTAAGGGGCCAGATAGTTGTCTCAGTTAGTTGACGGACTATACGCGAGGTTCGTGGAAACGAATAAAGAAAACGGCAAAAGGTACGCAATGCATGCATGTACGTACATACGTGCTTGAATGTATGTATGTATGTATGTATGTATGTATGTATGTATGTATGTATGTATGTATGTATGTATGTATGTATGTATGTATGTATGTATGTATGTATGTATGTATGTATGTATGTATGTATGTATGTATGTATGTATGTATGTATGTATGTATGTATGTATTATTTGCCGTTGGGTAGAAATGTAGGCATGTGGAAAGTTATCTAGGTAGAGGGATATTTATATCCTTCATTTGAGTAAAAATTGTTCAGTTAAACATAAGCTAAGAATTTTTGGGAAACTTGCAATTTAAGAACTGGTTTCAAAGATGAAATGTAGATTTATTTAAAAAAGGTTATTTTTCTCTATTTCTAAGGAAATGTTTGATTTTACCCTAATCATTCCATCAGAACAATATAGGATGACTCTACGAGGTAGTTCGGAAGTTTGATAACTTACAAATGTCAGGATGATTTTATCTTCAAAGCTTTGAGTGTTGCTACCTCACATGTTATTGCAACCAAAATAATGCTTTATAAATATCATGTATATTAAAATTTTAATCATTAATAAATTACATTGTTTCCGCTCTAAGAGGAACTGATTTGATGATTATTCTAAATATATGAGGAATATTGGGATTTTCTGCAATCGCTTGCTCTGTGTTGGACAAAATATTGCACTCGCTCCTTCTGTTTACAACATCTTAATCACAAAATCCTGATAAGGCCAGTACAACGAGGTAGCTACGTGATATTTAACCCATACTATCGAATATTTGTAAACACAACTATCTTACATGTCTGAAACGTGCACTCATTTCTTCATTCATGGTGGTCAAGAATGATTAATCAAGATTGATGCACCTGAAATTGTGTCGCACAGTCTCGATCTTATTGGTGTATTACACAGTCCTAACCAGTTTATTTAGATTTACCCAGAGTGTGTATCCCTGTCTTCTGCTTCCATTAGTGAAACATTAAAGACAAAGGTTGCATTACTTGCTGTACTGCAGTTTGTAATTAGAAACGCTGATGTTTTAGGACTCAGCTGAATCTGTGTGACCGCCTAAAATATCCTAGTGGTTAGAAAGTAAACCTCTGATGCGGAAGGTAGTGGGTTCGATCTCAAGCCGAATGATACCAAAGACTTATTAAAATTAATAGCTTCATCGGTTGATGCTCAGGATTAAGAGGTTAGGGTTATGACTGTTGTCAGGATAATGTGACTGGGTGGGGCATCATGCTACATATCTGCGGCATGATGGTCCAGTACTAGACATCACTATAAACTGCCACAATGCAGACATGGGTGTGATGTGACTGAACACTTGTTAAAGCGACGTTAAAAATTCAAATCACACACACACACACGTACACTGACTAATTTAGAATGACAGGCGTAGTCTCAGAAAGAAACAGATTATGAGCGTAAAACATTCATTACAAATACGAGTTAGATGCTTAAACAAGTTCGAAATGGTGCTGCTTTTAGTGTGTATAACGACAAATGTGCAAGCAAAATTTATTTTATTTAAAGCTATGCAGTTGTTATAAGATATTTTAGGTTCCAATGGGTGGAACATACTTCATGTGACATAAGGAAAACATATAATTGACATTAATGAACTCACAACGAATTCCTTAATGTCTGGTTTGATATAGCCAGAATAATATTTTTCAAAACGTATTTATGCTTGAGCAGTTAACAAAAGGGATAATAGGAACAATACTATTTGAATAGTGTACCAAACATTCCTATGCTTAGAAGACAAAAGTAATTTCTATGCATTAGATGGTATGCTTCACTTCATAAAAGTACCTTATATATTACACAAAATTATAAAATTAAAAGCTGAAAAAGATAAAACAACAAATATAAATTAATTTCAAAATTATTAAAAGTGTTAAATTATTAAAGACATAAGCAATCAAAGCTCTATTAATTATTTTGTTATAGCCCTCTAATTACACGGCTGGTAATGAGGGTTACCGTTGTAACTTGATTTGAAACCTGTATGATTTTCCACGTAGTCAAGGACGACGTCACCTAGCAAATTTGGCATGAAATGATTTAATGCAAGTAGATGGAGAGAATTAAAGTAAATGAACAGGAACGAAAATATAAACGGGTCTTTTTATTATTTAGTTTACGCAATAGACATGCCATCAGTGCAGTAACTTGGTCTGTGTTGCTGTACTGCGTTTCGTTCCAAAGCAAAAGTACATCCGATCAAGCTAGAGCTGATTTTCTAACGACAACAAACGATATACGATACAAGCAAGGAGCCCAAGTTATTGCATCATGTCATGTGCTGCTATCTATGGCATATATATATAGTGTACTTTACGAGACGGGCATGGATAATTGTGTTGTAGTACATTTATCTTTTTTAAAAGAGAAGCATGAAGAATTCCTTTTTTATGTAAATAAAATTTCACCCCTTTAACTGATCACATCTGGTGCAATTGGAAACGGTTCTGACATAGAACTTGGTCCTGGTTATCTTATTGCGCCTCATTCCATAGATGAAAGTCATCCGATCATGTTCGATCTGATACTTTTCCAGCATCAAATAATATGCGATACAAGCGCCTAGACGATGTTATTGTATTTATGTCTATAATACATATAACGTATCTGATACAGATGCACGACAAATTTTCACAATGACATTATATCTATTTCATTGCTCTCACATGACATAGAATAGGGTTCTGACACTGAGCGCTGACATTAGTCTTTTTTAACAATGTTTCATGGCCGTATCAATTATGGTTCTAAAACAAAATAAAAGATCAAGGGAAACATCTAATGACAGTGAAATATTTGTATGTATAACAAGCAGGTTTAAAATCACTAAAATAAAAAAAAATACGAATGGTGTATTTTTAAATACTTATGTCTGTCATTCATTCAATTTTCAGCATATAGTTGGAGCCATGTTAGTGACGTAATTTTATGTTTGGATCAGGAACAGTTAGAAGCTTGGATCAAAGTCAGTCCTTCTTTCTTTAAAATATGTTTGGTTTTAATACGTATGACATAACCTTTGTTTGGCAACACAAAATTTCAAGTCGATAAATTACTACTTTTATCACTCAATATTCCTTGTATGTTCACACTGTAATAAGTAAACCATTTTAATATTTATATTTACATTTTAATACTTGTATTTAAATTCTAGTAACGCAGACCGCTCTGGTTGCCTAGTGGATAGGGCATCCGCCTCGGATGCGGGAGGTCGTGGGTAAAATTCCCGGCTGAGTCATATCAAAGACTTACAAAACTGGTACTAACAGTTGCCTATCCAGTCGCTCTGCATTACGAGGTTTGTATTAGGACTGGTTGGCCTGGTATCACGATAATGTGAATGGGTGGGCATAATGCTACATGTCTGCGGCATGATGACCCAGTGCTAGATATCACTATAAACTGCCCAATTGCAGACATTGTAGCGATATGACCGATAAAACAGTTAAAGTTACGTTAAAAATTCAAATTACACACACACACACAAATTCTAGTTACATATCTTCGAGCAAATATTCGCACTTTGCATTTAAACGTGAACAAATGAGAGCCAATTGTAGGGCTATATTGTGGTAACGGTCATAGTAGGGCAGACGGGCTATAATAACAACAATGCTGTTTGTAGCAATGGTCATAGTAGGGCAGACTGGTTATAATAACAGCAGGTCTGTTTGTAGCAATGGTCAGAGTAGGGCAGACTGGTTATGATAACAGCAGGGCTGTTTGTAGTAATAGTAATAGTAGACTAAGCATAGATCATTTCTACCAGGAATCGGGAAAATTTACTGTTTATGATGTTCCTCTCTCTCTCTCTCTCTCTCTCTCTCTCTCTCTCTCTCTCTCTCTCTCTCTCTCTCTCTCTCTCTCTCTCTCTCTCTCTCGTACGAAACTAGTAACTAACTAGCCTAAGCGCTTTCGACTCTTAATGAGTCTTTTTCAAAGGCATATAAAAAACATATAAACGACAAACAAATAAACACAAAAACGTTGTTTGTAAACCTCTACAACGTTTTCAGTTTCCGCAACTAGTCTATACAAGCTGGTTGTATTTATAGTTTTAGCACATGTGAAGACAGCCATGTAGAGGTTTACAAACACAACGTTTTTGTGTTTATTTGTTTGTCGTATACATGTTTTGTATTTGCCTTTGAAAAAGACTCATTAGGAGTCGAAAGCGCTTAGGCTAGTTAGTTACTAGTTTCGTACTGTTCGTCGTCAGTTTATTGCATCTATTTTAATTAATCCCTGACACACGTGATCCCTTGGTGGATCCAGTACGCTTGAAAGGGTTGTTATTCGCCATATGATTTGTATTCGTTATATATATATATATATATATATATATATATATATATATATATATATATATATATATATATATATATATATATATATATATATATATATGGAATTTTTAATTCAAATGATTTACTAATGTACCGTGTTATGTTTGAGTGCATATTATCAATTACATTTGTAGTTTTAACTTGCATGCGAGTTCATTAATCTGCACAGATCCAATCGTGATTAAGGTTTTACTCGAATCCAGACGTTACTGGAAAATGAAATGACCAATCAAAAGGCTGAAAAATGAAATGAAAGGCTGTGTTTGTTGATGCAGAGCAAGACTATCAAGTCTGGAGCAACATTTATTACTCCTAATGTTGGATAAAAATTTATGACGAAAGGACACGAAAGAACACGATCTTAGGTATTACGCAAGGAAATTATTACAATCGATACGTCCTTGGGGAATATGTGTATGTAGATAGGTAGTAAAACTCTGCTAATAGAACCGCTAGAGAAAACCTTATGTAAGTGGTTGTAGTTCATTTGCTTTAATACCAGATTTCCGCCTTTCGCGATCATGTATGTACGAAAGTGTTTGTGCGCATGTATTCATGTGTGTATCTTTACAGATACCGTAGTTAGATTTTCAGACATCAAGAGATATCGTATCCTAAATAATTGTGTAGTAGTCAATTTTGTGGTGATGAAAACTAAGAATCATTGAACGCTTTGTGAAAAATTGACCTCTATTTGTAGATCGTTGTACGTTCAACGTATTTGTGCACATTTTGACGCGATTATGTATTGTGGTACGAGATAATAAGCAACTTATCTGCATTCGCCTGCACCTGGAACAAACTGGCAACCCATTATTGTAGGCCAGTAACTAACAACATCATTGTCTCAAGCTACTTTAGAACCCACCCCATTGATCTGCTATGATTGCAAGGTAACTTCAAATCTGAGCGATACATCAAAACTACGGAAATTTTTTTCAAGAAATAGGATGACGATATTCGGTCTTATGAAACGAGTGTAACGCAGTTTTTGTCAGCGAACTTGTTTACATCTGTATACACACCTGTGTACAAGAATACGTTTGCAATATTGACGTAAACATTAAAGGCCATTCACACTCAAAGCCAAAATCAAACAATAGATGTGCACCCAACGCTGGCTCCTCACATTTCGCCTTGAAAGAGGATGAGAGAACAGATAGCATGTAAAACATTGGCTGTCCACGGCGGTCATAACAATACATTGGTGTACTGATTCAATGCATAAATTAACTAACTTTTATTATTTAGGAATTTTGTTATACTGAGAAATATCAAGCCATGGCTGTCGAGTAATTATCCATTAAAGTTCCATTTCTTTTTTTAAAGATTTGTCATCTGCAAATAATGCATGTAAGGGGAGGATTTCGCGCTTCATCATGAAGAGTTGCATAGATTTTCATTAACGTTTAAAAAATCAATTTCTTGTTTTTTTCCGCTATCTTTGTAGTGGTTGTCTCTTATTTCCAATGTGGTCTGATATATTTTTTAAATATTCCATATTTTACACGATGTATGTATGCATGTATGGACGTACGTTCGTATGTGTGTGTATATGTATGTATGTAATTTTGACAGAATAACATGCACCAAGAAAGAAAGATAAACAATATGAACAAATTTAGTGAACCGGCCTTTCTGCAAACGGTTGCTTTTATTTTCTCACCGGTTTCAGTATTTTAAGAAATGCAACGAATAAAATTATATAAAAATAAATAATATATATGTACAGGGCATTGACATTATTATTTCACTCTTTGGAAACACACCTTGTAGAATGTACATTTACACGGATGGATTTAACGTCGGTTAAAGCACAAACATTCCATATTCATCTCTTCCTTGCTATTATTTCCAGGGTATTTTCCGAATATATATATATATATATATATATATATATATATATATATAATGATTGACTAGATTACTCGGGGTAGTGATGCAAAGAATTAGGAACTGATTTAAACAATCCACTTGATGTAGATTAAAGATTTACTGTATCCAACTCTTCTGTGTATATATATATATATAATGTATGATAATTACCAATTTATATAATACATGTATAATACCAAATTACAACTCTAGAACGATTCAGAATTATATTTTCCTGGCATTAATACAGCCTTCCAAGCAATGATAAAAGAATGGTATTCAGATAATCCCGTTTATATGGGATGCTATTCACTGTATTGATTAGACTTTATATTGTCATTCAATACGTGTTCTTTTAATTAACTCCAAGGCCCGCTAAACCTTATCGTTTATCAAAAGGCTTCAGGACTCATGGAGATAAAATACTGATTTACACATTAGTCATTGAATATGATACTCGGTATGAATTTGTAAAGTTGTTAATAAGACTGCTATCAACGTGTTACAATGCAGTCATTTTTGTGTTCTCGACTCGTACATATGAACGGTACCCTTCCTGTTATTCACCTTGTTCGTTATCATTATTTTACACGTACAGGTATATCAAGTATGCATCATTTATACACCAACTATAACACATGTAATGGAATGCTAATAACTATAGCTTTAAAAACGCAAAACAAAAATTGTCGCAAAATATTTACATACGCAAACACAACCTCAAATTTTAATTAATATTTTGTGCGTACAGAAAAAAAAACTTAAAAATGCTAATTATGCCGCCAATGGATAGACAATGTGTGGGGAAAATCATTGTCTAAAGGCAGCAGATGCAGCGAACATGATTAATGAACACATTAGTTATCACAATATGACAGGTTGTAATGCCCATTTTTCTTGTTTAATTTGAACAGAATGCATAATATATAAACTAGCAACATTCAATGCTTTACCTTTAATTGTATAATTCATAATCTATGAAAGGAAATGTTTATTAAGTCCTTCATATACGAAGCAATCCATGACATAATTGATAAAAAAAAAAGCCTGAAATAAAGACACGTGCAGTGTATCATTAAAACTAATTAAAACAAACAAATTGAAAATAATTAGGAAATAGGGTCTTATCCATTTGAGACATAAAGCGGGGCATTTCATTAATTATCTACCTTGCATGCTGCATACTGGAAAGATCCAAAATGTTTCATTGCATGTAAATGCAAAATGATTTACATAATGATAATGCGGTCAGTGTAAAATACGAGTATTAAATCTACAATAGATTTTAAATGGAATTATCACAGATTTATCATGTTCATGTGATCTTACAAAACAAATTTTAATAGTAAAATTCATCCGTTCTATAGCAATATCAATAAAAATATAAATCAAAATTAGCATCTTTATATCTAGCGTCTTGGATCGATTTATCAGATAATCGGAGCAATTTCTAAACCTGATCATATCAGCCCGTCAGAACGTTTAAATGCAGAGCTCATTTTGTAATCCTTTCTGATTTAGATTGCAAAGCATTTTGTTCCATTATAACCACCCTGCAAAACTAATTCTTTCAAATGTTCACTTTTTATGACAAAATAAAAAGGTCCATCTAACATTAATAGCTGCATATTGTTAGTTAATACTGTTCATTGGCATTTCCTGGTTTCCCACACATATGCTTCTTCCTCGTTACATCAAAAAATGCAAAACTCAGACAGTGGAACGCCTCCCTTTCGCTGCTAGTGGAAGAATATTTGGCATTTTAACTCAAAACTCTACTTCTAGTTGACTGATTTCATACAATCTTCATGAAAATTGCCATAAATGCTGCGCTTAGTAACCCTGATGCTGGTACAGTCACAAACCATGCCAAGATAATGTTCCTGAAGAGTGTCCAGTCTACGGATTGTTTGGAACGCACAAAACCTACGCACACTACTGATCCCACCTTGCAATGCGTAGTGCTTATTGGAATACCGACATTAGAGGCAACTAGAACTGTAAGTGCTGACCCAAG